ATTACTCCTGCACTTATTACTTTAGGAAGGCTTCCATAAAACATAGCTACCTTCCAGCCTGGATACATGGATCCATGTATCAGCTTGTCATAGTCAAATCTGTATGCCAGCAAGACTTCTAAGACTGCACACTGTAGCTAATTTCCACAGTAGATTTTGGGAAGCATAATCAAAGTGTGTTCCATATCAGAAAACGTGAATGGAAGAGAACATAACAAGAGATTTATCTCTGCTGCTGCAATGCAGAGAAAACATATCTATGTAATTAAAATTATCTAACTATAATCTAATGTGGATGTTTGTTTATCAGGATTAATTATAACACACAAATGCTGTTTATGGTTACAAGTACACAATTAAGGACAACATAGCATAAAATTCAAATAACATATGGCATTTGCAGAACCAGCAGTGCCACCAGAAAAAACATACCAGTTGTCATATTTTATTAATCTTATGATAAATTATTGCTGCATTGTAATTAAATGAGCGAGACAGTCAGCCAACATCATTATCAGAGCTCCTGTTTTCTTTGAATCTCTTGTAACTTAGAAATCCAATTTATGAATATTACATTGTTTTATTGAATGTGAATTACTGTAGGGATAGTGGGCTTGAGTTATTCTCCAGTAATATTATTCCAATACTGAAATGATTTATGCTAGGTATTAATTTTGTCATGTTTCATATTGTATCTATTTATATGTAGTTCTTGGCAAGAGTAACTAGCCCAATATTCCTTAGGTAATGAGCTATTAAGTTCAACAAGTGAACTTACAGTGCCCTTTGAAATATAGAATTCATATTTAGCTCTCATTCATGTCAGCGGTTAATAATTTCCCAATTTAATAACTTCCATCTAACAAAGGTAATCAATATTATTTTATTTCATACGTTGCAATGAACATAAATTTATCTTGGTAACAGGTACCAGTAGTATTCAAAATTTGAAAATAATATTATTTTCAATATCCAAGAAGTTTTTAAAAATTATAATACCACTGAAAAGGAAATTAAAAGCTTACACATTGTGAAAAGGTAGCCCTAATTATTTTCATTACAGAAATCAAACCAGGATATACAATCCAACAGCAGATAAAGTATCTTAAATTAATTTTGTGTTGCAGTGCTGACCACTCTTTGGATAAATAATCATTAGAATAATGTCTAATCCTTTATTACTAATTCTTATCATTAACAGCAAAATTCAAAAACCTTAAATCTGGCAGGGTCATGTACATACTTTATAAGTGCTCATCTTGCATTTAGGGACACCAGATAAAAGACATTTTGCTCCAGAATGTCTTTGGTATTACTATGTTGACACGGATAAATAAACTATTAGACTATTTTGATTTCAGATCTCAACAACAGGTCAAGTAGACATTCTAATTACTTCACTAAGAAAAAAATCATTTGACCTAAAATGGGTTAACTGTTTCAAATAGAAAACTAACAGTTGCAAGAACAATTTCTAGTAAGTTCTTGGAGATCTGGATATAAAAAAGAGATACTAATTATAGGTGAAATACTGAACATATTGCATCCAAGAAGAAATTGAATAGAATTTCAAACTTTGAGGACTGTTCTACACGTTTTTCTTGTTCTAAGTTAATATAAAAATATGGGCCACAATTATATTATATAAACCTCTCAATTCAAAAGTTACAATGTTCAATGTGCTTATTAAAAGGGAAGTGGCTTAAAATTACTTAATTTTGTGTACCTTAATCTATTCAATTGACATAAGGGGTCAGTTCTCACAGAATCCTTTCTGGAAAGGGCTCTGCAAAGGATTTATCTGAAATCGAAAGGACTGTGGGAGAAGCTATGGCACATGCATAAATAAACAAAACCAAAATGCCTCACATAAAGAATCCCATTAATTTTTAGCAAAACTGCCTGATATTTTGTCTAAAATGGCATTGATATCTGGATAGCAAAGTAAACCTGTCTGATGAAACAAATTTTCATGTGCAAGCAGAGAACTACATCTTTGTAACGCTTATACCTAACAAGTTAGGATGCTATGAAGGACAGAATTAATTGATATGTGGATAGATAAGATAATTCAGCAGATTATGCATGCTTTTCTCTTTTTATCATGACAAAGAAATAATTTAAATCTCTCCTTTCAAATTTCATCTTTATTCCACAATAACCTATTGACTGGAGGACAAACAAACCCAAAAAAACCAAGCCCACAAAAAAAAAAAAAGTATGTTTAAAACTAAATCTACATCTACTATATCCAAATAAACTTCTATTGAAAGGGAAACATGTTTAGGAAGCTAATAGTCCACCAAAAATTACTTGGATTTCAGTCTACAATCAACATATTTGAAAAACAGACTTAAAAATGAGGAACCACAATAATATGCTGCAGTGCCTAAATTCCTTTCCAGATTTAAATTCAAATTAATTTCACACAACACTTACACTGTTTTTTTCTTTCTGTTAATGGAGCATGTTAGTCATACTGGAAACATGTTTGTTATAGCAATACTTTGTAAATAGTATTTTTTACTGTTTCCAAATGAGCAATTCATAAACAAAGTATATCGAGAGTAATTACATGAAACAATTTTGGAACTACAAGAGAAGAGATTTTACTTTTAACATAATCAAACTAGCTTTTGTCATGAAATTGGATTGACATATTTTGGAGTACACAGCTATAATTGCTTCTGCAAAAGTAAGCAAACAAACAAAAATCAAACCAAACAATCAAGCAAAAATAATTCCTTATTATTCCTTGCCCAAGTGGTCTGGTGAAAGTGAGAAGAGCTAACAAATAATACTTATCTAGATGGGAGCACGAAAAGGAATTTGAGCTCTTAGAGAACTCAGAAGGCATTCCTGACTTTTCTGGACTGTACAGGTCTGGATAAGATATATTTAAGGATCAAAATGAGAGACGTCTGTATGACAGAAAAATATATTATTTTTATTATATGTTGTGTTATTAACTTAAATTTCTATACAAGAAATTTGGGCAGCTCAAACACGACTTAAAAGAAACATAATTCAGTGTTTTTTATGATTCTGGTTATCTTATTAAATACCAGACTAACACACTGCAAACCATTATTCTCTGTTTTCAATGAAAACCAAATCCTGAAAAATACCTCCAAAACCTTTGGCATAGATTGTTTTAATGGAAATTAAACCACACACTTCAAATTAAATTAAAATAGGAGGAAGAATGGTTCTTTATCAGTGAACTCGCACCCAACTCTAACAGAAGACATATGTTTCATGAAAAGGTTTCTTCCATCTTGTCTTCTGAAACTTTATTTCTTCCGGTTTCTTCCATCATATTGCCAGAATACTATTCCCAAAAAAATGCATGAAAATCAAAAAATCTTTAGAACAGAGAAGGAACTTAGCAATTTCCAAGTCATGTGCAGGAGGAGGGTTTATTGGCTTATTTTTTATTTTGTTTTGGTTTTATTTTCCCTTCTTAATCATTCTTCACCTCATTATTTACATGGCCATTTCTGTAGCATCACTTTTCAGTCACAGAGGACTTTTACTTCGCAATTTCACTTGGCCAAAACTATTCCATACATGATGCTCTGCAGGGCACATTACCAAGTCAGACTTCTATTCACACAGGTAGCTTTTTATCAAGGAGGAATAATATGACATGGAAGTCTAACAAGGTTAGTCTGTGCTTCAATAATTTCTGTTGGACACTAACTTCATTGAATTTGAGTTTTATTTGGTTAAGAGCTTTTAAGAATTTATGTTGGGTAAACACAAACACAGTGCATAGGCAAATCAAAGACTTCTACAGGATTTGAATACACTATGTGTATTTAGTTATATACACTGTATATACACTGTGTATTTAGGTATGCAAAACATACCTAAAACAGTATGTGAAAAAATTCCTAAAAAATAGGCACCAGTAAATGAAATATGTCAAATATATTAAAAACGTATCAGCAATAGAAGACATTTTTAGGTACCTTACACAGCTGTAATTTGAAGGAGAGAAGGAGGAGGAGGACACAGGGATTGTATTGTATCTGTCATGTCACTTTGAATTGCAGGGCGACTGATGGTGCCAAATGTTATCATTGACTATAATGCAAATCATAGATTTAACTTTCAAAACCACATGAGATATCTGAGCACAATAGATTTTTAGTGTGCAATATGGAGCTCATCTGCAATTTGCATGACCTTATGCTTACTCTATCCTATGTTCTTACCAATTTCTGACTTCTCGCCATAGAACTATCTTTAAAATCTACCTTAGAACCAAAACTACCTTTGAAAAAGGACCTGAGGACAGTACAGGGGAACTAGAGATTATAGACTTTGCATTTGTCTGTTTGTTAACAGCAAATTCCAAAAGATTTTAATTGTGAGAAACATTCAGAGAAGGGTCAAGTTTCAGAAAATTTGTGTACAGAAAACCAGACCCACTGATGGGCTATACCCACACTTGGAAAATATACAAATACCCTTTAGTGTGCTAAGTTATAATAAAAAATAGGTATTTTTCAGCTACATTTTCTTCCATAAATAAATAAATAATAAAATGGAATACATAGATAAAATAGAAATAATAATTTTAAGTTTTCAAAGTAAAACTCCAGCAATTGGTGGTAATTTTCTTTATAGCTAAAATGAAGAGCACTGAAGGAATAATCAATACTTCTGAAAGCAGAATTGACTTTGAGTGCATTTTTTAATTAACTTCTTAAATCACAGTTTGCTCTTAATAACATTTTAACATAATGAAATATTTTATTGTGTTTGCAGTGTTCACAAATGTAGACTATTTTTTTAATTAGCTAAAATCTTTCATTCTTGTACTTGATGACAAATCTTCATACAGAAAACATAAATAAAGTGAACTGGAAAATTCTCAGCCAGAGCTTTGTAAATAACTTTATTTCCTTGTTCAAACTTTGTAAGTATAATTTAAATGAAATCTAAAAGTCTAGAAGAGAATCTATTTTTTTAATTTTTTTTTTAATAAGAGATTTTAAAGTATGCTTTTACAGTATGGATAATTTCAGTGAGAAGATGGTGTCAAAGTTGACAAATAAACAGCAACAAGTAAAACATGACATACAGTGATGATGTATAAATATGGAAATAGCATAGAAGTAAAATTTTATGGAAGGCTAAAGTGTTTGAGAAAAGGAATCAAAGACAGATGGTTCTTAGAGTTATCTGACATCTCTCAATGCCAAATACTATTAGTGGTGTCACTGGAAAAGTTAACTGACAATAGCTATGTTAGGAAGAGGGGTACAAAAGTGATGGGCACATTTCTCTATCTGTGCTATAACATTTTGTGCTTCTGTCACTGGCATTTTAGTCCCCTCTGTTGCCTGTGTTAATAGTATAATAAAAAGTCTGTACTTAAGTGTCAATAGACATGAAGATTGGCTTAAAACAGTTGTGAACTTACATAAAGGGTGGAAGCTTGTTAGGGCTGAAGCCCAGGACTATGCTGCTGGCTATAACTGTGCTCTGAGATAAAGTTAACTAAGCTGGACACGGCACGGCATGGGAAATGGCTGGATGTGACAGATAACAGTATGAGAAGCTGAAATAAATTACAGGGAGCACCATGAGGCATGGTGTGGGGTGCAGAGGTGGTTAAGGCAGAATTATCCAAGAAATGGCCAAACTTCACAGCTAATTGGAGGGATAACTTGGGTCCTTCAGGATGGAAGTTTCTCACAGCAAGCCATGACAAGGTAACCACGTCAGCAATGATCTACACTGAGGCTGAGGTTACATAAGGAATGGTCACAGAAATAAACAATTGGGAAAAGGATGCAGTAAAACGGATCAATAGGGAAGAAGTAATTGAGGTCATTTAGGACAAGACTGGGGCATAGACAGCAGGTGACAAAAAGAGAGTCAATATAAAGGAAAAGCAGTAATAAGATATGTTAATGTTTAAATTGGTGCTGCCTGTGTGTGCCTTATGGGCAGCCCTGCACTTGATCACTGTAGCCTAAATCAGGCCTGTAGACAAAACCTGTTCCACTAAGCATAACGCAGGAGTCAGCCCTGCAGGAAAGACACCTTAGAGGCGCACACCTAGAAAACCTGAAAAAAAAATCAAGTGTCTCCAAGTGAGGTCTTGTTCCTGACAGCATCCACATCTGTCCATCATTTCTAACAAGAACAAAATTTTGACACAAATATTTCCACACAATTCATGCAATTCATATTTTGGATCTTTCTGCTGAAGATGTAATATGAAATAAGAAACATGGATCCACTGAAAATATGATTTAATAATTTGGAGAGATCAAAACAACAGGTTTTTTTTAATTTCTTTTTTTTTTTTTTAGATTGCTGGTATTCATGGTTTAGGATTTGTCCAAGCACAATTAACAATTTGTACTTTCAATAGTACCTGAATGCTGCTTTTTTTGACTTACAAAAAGATGGAGAAAAGCAAAAAGTAGACAACAAGGACTATGCACACACATGGGATAGACTAAACTACTAGGAAAATTTTGCATAAAATCTGAGACACTTGGTTTCCTGTACCTGAGGAAGAACTTGAATTAGTATCTTGAATTTATTGTGATTAAATGGCACCTACTCACCTTAAGATTTGGCAATGCATGCATACACATATACAACATTGCTGGACTTCAACTCCCATAAATGGTGTCAGCAAGAAAGCTATAAAACTTAAGCACACGAAACATGCACTAGGGAGAAGAAAGAAAATTCTTTTCAGAAGTATTTGTTAAATTCCTTATTCAGTTCTCTTTTTTTCATGGAGCCTTTATGATCAAATGGAGAACTTTAAATATTCACTGCCTACTTTGAAAAATATACAGAATAAACTGCAAAAAATGGAATTTATTGAGCTGAGAATCATGTTAGAAAATCCATTGCTTCAAGAAGACTAAATATATATTACCTTTATTATCAAGTAAATTTCAAAAGAACCTAATTTTGCAGCACCTCTGCCCATATATTTCTAAATCTTATCCTTTCTGTGAAAAATGTTTCTTTCATAATTTTTCATTAAACTAAAATATTTTCAGTTCATTTATCTTAGGTTTAGACCTCTTGCTCCACATAGGGAGCAACACAATTCTGAGCAGGAAAAACACAAACTTTTAGAAGGAAGCAGCAGAAGTCTACCCCCCTAATGATAATTTCTTTTTGTGATTAGAAGCAATTAAACATGGATCTAAAGAAATGAAAGCTCACATCTCACCTTCTATAGATTTAGCCTTCATTTGTAACATTATGAATTCCAATAAGGGTTTTCTTCTATAGCACTTTAGCGTATTCTATTAAAAAAAACAAGTTTAGCAAACCATGAAGTATTTAAAATTTCATACATTATAGGCCAGATGAATAAAGGGTTACTACGTGACCAAATTATAGGATGCTATTTAATTATTTTAAGAGATGAAGAAGGAATAGTTTATATGCAGGCACATTTAAAAAAGAAAAACCTTGTATAATTGGAATGATTTCAGTTTTAAATATGTAGGCAAAGTCCTCACTTAGCTGTCCATTATTGGTTTCTTTTTCCAAGTCAGCATGAGTCATATTCATTAAAATTGTCATATTTCAGCAACTCTGACATTCAGAGACAGTTTTCAAATGTACCTTTGAAATAGTCCCTTCCGTTGTCAGATGCCATGGTAGTTACAGCCTCAACAGCACTCTAAACTCAGCTGATGGAGACATGGATGAATGCAGGAATGGTGGCAGTGACTTTGGAACTCAGAAGCAGGCAATGCTTCACAAATTAATTTTTCTCCTTGCAGAAGTGCCTTGTGAAATTCTCTAGCTTACATTTCTGGAAAGAAAAAAAAAAATGTGAGAAAACCCAGAAGACAACCAAGAAAAGACATGGACTTAAATGTAAATGACTTAATTTCTTTCAGTATATTCCATCAAATTTTGTGTTTTGCATTTGTATTCTTACCAAAAGAAAAATCCTAGACAGTTTATGACCCAGTTTTTAAAAAAAAAAAAAAAAAAAAGGTTTCACCATAATTACACTCTACTGTAATTTGGCCAAAAACTTATGGTGGGGATTTCAGCTCTGAAACTCTTTCATGAAGATGCCTAACTCATAGCCATCTAGAGCTTCCTCAAATCCTGTAGGCAACACCTTCAGTTAAATCCTTTTCATAGCTGTTATTTCATATTTTTATTGTCTTTAGGTTTCCTGGTCATCACGATTCTTTATATTTTCAACCAAATATATATATTATACTTTTATATATACTGTAGATGTAATTAAGATGGTAATTTAGCCTTAAAACTTGCTGGATCTGCACACTAATGCAGCTGCAATACTAAGGCTTATGAAATTTCTTTTCTACCTCTTCATTGCTTTGCTTATACATGAGGCAAATACAACATATTATTACTTCACATACAATTTAGGTTAATAAAAATGCTATACTGGGATATTTTCCAAAAATTGTTTACTGCCAAATGTTAATGAATACTAATTTAAATTTAATAAGGACAGTATTTCACATAAATTTCCAATTAAAAGAAATGTATTTTCCTATTGCCAAGAGATATGTGGTGTTCAACAAAGTATAAAATATATCTAAAATTCAAGTTTGATTTTGATACACATTTTACTAAATACATATCAAAAGGCAAGTTTATTTGAGAATTTCATACAATCTGCTTAACAAAGGGATTTAATTTATGATTAAATGTCAGGTGCTTTGTGAGTCAAACATCAGTGAGTGGCTATCATTTAAAGGTACAAAGATAAATATTCACTAATAAAAAAAGCATATTTAACATTGAGAAGTTTATTTTACTTTTTTTTTTTGAAGAGGAGTTATTCCTTAAAAAATTATAAAGTAAACCAATATTACTAATCTGAAGACAAAATTCAGATAGCTGTTGAACCTGAAATCCACATGGAACCATAGAATGGTTTTGGTTGGAATGGATGGTGATCTTTTTCTAATTCCCCTGCCATGGGTGGGGAACATTTCATTACATCAAGTTGCTCAGAACTCCATCAACACTTCCAAGAATAGAACATTCACAACATCTCCAGCCAATCTGTTCTAGTGCTTCACCACCCTCTCAGCAAAAAAAATTTTTGAATATCTAATTAAACCTTCCCATTTTCAGTCTGAACCCATTCCCTCCTTGTCTTGTCACTACATGCTCTTGCAAAAAGTCTCTCTCCATCTTACTCCATTTCTTACAAGAAATTGTAAGCTCAGTTCTGGTACTGGAAGACCACAATTAGGTCACCCTGAATTCTTCTCTTTTCCAGGCTGAACAAACTTAGTTCTCTCAGCACTTCCTTATAAGATAGATGCTCCACTCCTCTAATCGTCTTGGCTCTCCTCTTGCATCATGGTGGCTCTTCTCCGGATTCACTGTGATGGGTCAAAATCTTTCCTGTGCTGGGGACCACACAGCTGGATGCAGTATTACAGGCAGGGTCCCACCACAGAGGAGTAGAAGGCAGAATCACTTCTCTTGACTTGCCCTTTATGCAGCCCAGGGTATCTATAGCTTTCTAAGTGTAGGTTCATTTCTCAATTCTCATCCACCACCCCCATGACTGCTCTCCCTCAGTCCACCCCCAGTCCACTCCCACTGATGTGGGAATTGACCCAACCCAGCTGCAGCACCTTGTACTTGATCTTATTGAACCTTATGACATTGCCATGGGCCTACTTCTCAAGCTTGTCCTGGTTCCTCTGGATGGCATCCCCTTGTTCAGGTGTGCCAACAGCACCACTCAGCTTAGGGTCATCTGCAAATTTGCTGAGGTTGAACCTGATCTCACTGCCTGTGTCACTGATGAAAGTATTAAATAACACTGGTCCCAGTATAGACCCTTGAGGGACACCACTCATGTCTGATCTCCATAGGGACTCCAAGTCATTGACCACTTCTGTCTAGATGCAACTTTCCAACTGACTCCTCATTCACCAAACAGTCCAACCATCAAATCCATCTCTCTCCAATTCAGACAACAAGGGAAAGATTTTCACTCCTGACTGTCTACAATGCTTAACTACTAAATTACCTCTGGCTCCTTTTTGCAAATCTGTCACTAGTCATCTTCAAGACTAATCTGTCATGAAAATGGCTAAGTTTCAGCAGCCTTTCTCCATTTGGTCACTGGGCTTGTGATCATTTCCTTGTCTTCAGTAAGTTAACAGTAGCTGAGACAGCCATGGCAAGGGAGGGAATACGTACTGTCAGTGTATTGGAAGCAAAAGGATGAGCAGGAAAGAGCTGAGTCATTACCTAAGGGGCACCAAACACTGATGTTGGGAAAGATGAAGTGTTTACACTTCTGCTTCAGCTTTCATTAAGGACGGTAGGGATTAATGGACATCACACTAAGACAAAATAAGGAAAAAACGTTTCATAGATAAAGATCAGATGAAACTTGATAAAGTTGATGAACTTTTCTGCAGGGGATTTAGAAAGGGGCTGAAGAAAGAGAATAAATAATCTTCCAAAATATTAGAAAAGAGCAAAAACAATATATATATATATTTTAAAGGAGGAAAATTGCCCTGGCAAACTGGGTCCTATTGAGGAAGAATATGTTAGTAAAAAAATATGGAATATTAAAAGGTGTTTACTGGTGAACAGTACATTATGCCCTAAAAAAATTTCATTCAACCAGATATCTCATCTCATTAGTATGTTTGAAATATTAAGGTATTTCAGATAGTCCCTCGTACTATTTTCTTAAATGACCTAAGAAATTACAGTGAAGAAAAATCTGCTGCAAGGTAAGAATATAAATGGTTGGAAAACTGTACTTGGCTGATATTCATTGCACATATTAGTACAAGAAAAAATGTTCTGCATGTTTACATATATATTTGTCTTTCCTTAACTACTGTTTAGTACATTTATCATTTTATAACAGAAAATAGAGTACGTTACTCAATTTGCAGATCACTTCAGTCTGGACTAGGCTTTGGAGACCACATTAAAATTCAGAGACTTGAGAGAAACTAAAGTTGTTTATCTTCCAAAACAAATGCAAACTGAATGTTTGTTGACAGTAATGCATTTTTGCCTAAAAGAATAGGAAAGATTGCTGTTGTCTTCACTTGAAATCCTGATAGCCAAACTGCACATATGAATATTTGGGGCAAATAAGAAAATTGCCCAAAAGTTTGCCATAATGATTCTCTTACTTGGTATTTTCTTCAGTTTCCTTCTTTAGATTATCAGAAATAATAAGCCTTCTCCTTTTTGGTTTTCTAGACAGCAGTGCTTTGTATTATCCATGTAAATTCTCCTGGACAGGTAACACATTCTCTGACTATCACAGTATCCTAATTCCTGACCTTCTTTCTTAATTATGCCTTCTTATTAGTTATATACTGTAGCAATCGAACTGCCAAGCTCAGGTTATAGCAAAATAACAAAAAATATTTTTGTCCTCATTTATACACTTGCAACTACAATCGAAGTTGTGTCTCAGTTGTACATCTAAATTTAATTTTTATGTAACCTTACTGAGCTGCTACATACTGGCATAAATTGGAAAAAAAAAATATAGACTCTCCATTAAAAACATTTTTTAAACAACAGACAAATATGTGTCAGTTATAATTCATTCAACTTTGAGGAGAAAGTTGAGGGGAGAAGGGGAGAAGAGAAAAAGAGTGTGAGAGAGAGAGAGATTAAGTGGAGAGATACCACCACCACATAGATTTTGTGGCATGCTGCTGGTCCCTCTTCACCCTGGTCTTCTGTGGTAAGGTGCCAAAGTCATTCTTCTGTATAAAAACACTTTTGTACAGTCCAAATCCCACGTATCCACAGGGCAGAGATGCCGTTCCACAACCTGGGTTGGCATGTGTACCATTTCCCCACACTTTCCTACCATATAATTTTATTTTTTTTTTTGTCTGGATTAGTCTTATCTCAAGTTCCCATAGTCTGCATATTCTGGTGTGCTAGTTGCAAGCCTTCACCTTTGCTAGACATGGAATTAAGGCCTTCCTGTTTTGGCACCTGTGCTTATCTCAAGTTCCTTAAGATGGCTTATCTTATGGGAACTTTCCTCTTTACCACTGTTTTGAGAAATGCAACTGCATTCTTTAAGTCCTCACAATAAAAAAACCTGTGAGCAAGGGAATAAAAATGCAGCATAGTTTTTCAGGTAAAATCAGAGAAAATGCAGTAGGAAAACAATTCTGCAAAGAGAAATAATTATAATTCTGTGAAACTTCAGATATATTCTAATGTAAAAAAAAATTTAAGGTGTCCATAACCATAGAATAGGTCGCATTTATTAAATAAACCCCCAAAGTTTATTTTAAAACAATCTGTTCACAGAGGGTCATTAAAATTAACTCATAAAAGGTTCTCAATGGCAAAATTCCACTGAAATTTTATTTTTTTTTAACTTTAAAAGAAACTGTGAGCTGAAATATAAGCATTGTAAGGTCATGTCTAGAACAGTAAACAAAATCTCCCTGTGCCCGTTCTCTGCTCTGTTCAGCCTCTGGACTCAGGCCAAATGGCATGGCACCATTTACCTCCATATGGCTAACAGCTCATTTCCTCCAAAATGCTGGCTGTATTCAAAGTGCCTACTGACTATGATCCCTGAATTATGCTACCTTCTGAATGAGGTTGAAAGACACTGGTTTGTACAGTCAAAAACCATTTTAAGACTGATGCCCTATCAGTATTGACCATCTTATGCCAGTTACATTGGCTCTGTTTAATCTAATAAAGTCTAATATCATTTACTACTACATGTGTAGTTGTAAAATTCTAGCAGTTCTCTTTTTACAGAGCCTATTCTGCAAACCATCAGTG